TAATTAGAGCAATCTAAGATGGAGATATTTCTGAATTATAATTTGTTTGATATATATTTTTTATGTAATTTTTAAATTTTGAATAGAATTTTTAGTTGTGAAAATGATTTTGAATTGGAATTGGAATACGTTGAATGATATCTTTCAATAATTTTAATGTGTTTGTCTAATGATAATTTTAAAAGAAATTTAGTTTTTAAAATAATTTAAGTTTAATTCAATATTTTAAAAATAGAAATAAATTTTATAAATAGAAATAATTTTTTTAAAATAGTAATTATATAAAAAAATGATATTTTATAGGATAGACGGCATTCAATGTATTAGTTACATTTTTATATTCAATATATGATACTGAAAATTTTTTATTAATTTTAAAACATAAGAATCTATTAATTTTAGAATCTATAAAATATCTTAGAAATAATTTGCTGAAATTAAAGTTTTATATTTTATATGTTTATTTCTCTTTCTTATTAACTTCTTTAAATTTTAATCAATTGGTTACTAGTATTTTTTGGAAAAACAATTTTCTACTTATATTCTAAAAAATAAGAATAAATATTTAAAAGAATCAAAAAAAGAATATAAAATTCATTAACTTTAAAATGCTTACCTTTCAACATAGTCGTCATTTATAGATATAAATTTCTTCAATGTGTGAGATATGTTTTCATTTTGTCAATGAATTGTTACTATGGTCGATTCTGAATTTAAAAATTTAACATCTTCTTTACTTTATTGTCCAGTGAATATTAGAACTGTTAGAAATTTTTCAAAGTTTTTCTCTTTTCCAAATACAAAGAAAATTACAAATTAGAAATATGAGTGTATGAAATGTGGAACTGGAATTCAACATTAATATCTTTAGAGTATTTATAATTATGTATATTACATATAGATATTTACCAATTTTCAAATGTATCACTCACAAATAATTGAAGTAAACAAAAATTGTTTTATTTATAAAAATAAAATAAATTTGTTCATTTGTAATATACAATGCTAACGAATCGATTTCTTTTAAAAAAACTGATAGATTTGTATTGGGAACTATTTGTCACTTATTACAAACAATATTCATGAAAACTTTAAATAATAATTATAAAATGTAAACTATTTTAATATGTCTTTAACTATTTTGATATGCGTTGATATGTCAAATTTTAATAAAAAACAAAATTCAAAGATTATTATAATAGGACTACAATTCAAAAAGTTGCATAAAATTCGGATGAGAGATCTAAAATCTTAGATTTTATATTTTATATTTTAATTTTAAATTCAATTAATTATTAATACAGTCTTCTTTCGTAATTTTCATCATTGAGTAGTCAATATATATATAGCTATAAAATTTGATATCTAATTGTAAAGTGTTTCATCTATAATCATTCATTTTCAAGAAATTAAACACATTTGATTTATCAAATGCCAAAAATGATGTCTCTTACAAATAAAAAAAAATCAATTTAAATATTTTTATAATGTACTTCTTTCAAATAAAAATAATTTTATAATGGATATTAACTTAAAATTTAAAAATAGTTTTTATGATATAAAACACTCTATATACATATAAATATCGAGATTACTTAATGATAATTTCTACAGCAAAGATGATTATATAATTACTTAATTATAGATGTATAATTATATTAATATATAATATTATATTAATATAACTTTGCAACTTTATCATTAATTTTTAAATTTTTTTATCATTTACGGCAATTATATATTATATAATATTAATATATAATATATAATTA